TTGAGCGGTTTTTGAACGGTTTATCGAAAAAAACCGCTCAAAAACCGCGCAAGATTTGAACGGTTTTGAGCGGTTTATCTAAAAAAACCGCTCAAAAACCGCGCAAGATTTGAGCGGTTTTTGAGCGGTTTTTTTGGATAAACCGCTCAAAACTGTTCAAATCTTGCGCGGTTTTTGAGCGGTTTTTTTTTTTTTGATAAACCGTTCAAAAACCGCTCAAACCGCTCATTTTGAAGCAAGATTTTGAGCGTAATTGTCTAAAAAAACCGCTCAAACTGCTCAAATCTTGCTTCAAATTAGGTGAAAAATCTCGACTCGGGTTGACTTTTAAAGTAGTTTTAGTTTAAAACTCTACTAAATGTTAGTTACTAGAAAATAATTGACGTGTATATATTCTTAAACCAGTCTTTGTTTGAGCCATCAATTATCTATCCTAGCATGGTTTTATCCCCAGGTAAATTTCATTTTGAACAAGTCATACCGAACAACAAGTCAAGCCAAGTTTTGTGCAAAGTTCAGAGCACAATTCACTACTTATCTATTTTGGGTCTCGCGAAGTCGCTCCAAAATTCTAATGCCCTGAGTTCTCTGTTTTGGGTCGCACAAAGCTGCTCTGAATTTTCCAAGATCGGGCAAATTCGCGTCCGTTTTTCAATAATTCGTTAAACAAATAGTGTAACAAATAGTTGAACAAATTCTGATTCACAAATAGTAATAGTGAACCAAAAATTTGCCTGAGTGGCCTGAAACACGTGAGATTTGCTCATGTTACTATATTGCTCACTATAATCCACTGGTAACGCTCGAAAATTCTCAAGTGCTCAAAAAACATTCTTTTGAATGATAACAAATGACTTTATGGATTGTAGGTAATTGATATTATTTCGATCAGAGGCGGATCTAGGCTTTTCTCGAGCAGGGGGGAAGCTAAATTTAAAAAGTTTACGAGAACTTCACAACCTTTTTGGCAGACTAAATTAATTTCCGAGCGCTTCATGAAATTTTTATTTGCGCCGCGGCCATATTTTTAAAAAATAGGTCAAAAATGCCGTCTTAAGGTTGGTCGCCAAAAATGGATGTCGTCATTAAACATTAAGTAATACAAAAGGGGGACCCTTTGGTGATGAGTTGGTATTCCTTGCTGAAATTCTAAGATTGAAAATCTAAAAGTTTGATGGTTTTGTTTGATTTAGCAGCAGCAATGAGCAGTCAGGTATCCGAACCCCGAGACACTTGTATTGTTGAAGACATAAATGGAAACATGTTCAAGAAAATTCTGATCATTGGCAAAACAGGGACGGGGAAGAGCAGCCTGTGCAATGTGATTGCAGGCAAGGGCCACGATGCCACACTATTCCCCGTCTCTGCTGGAACGCAGGGTTGTACCGGAAGTACGACGTTTGGAAACGTGCACTATAACGGAAGCAGAGAACACCTTGTCTCTTTAATTGACACCATTGGATTTGACGATCCTGATAGGGATACAGACGCGACCATAATCTCGGACCTAGTGATGAAGTTAAGAAACAAGTGTGATCATGTCAATTTATTCATATTAGCCGTCAACGGAAGCGAAAGAAGATTAGACGGTTCTTTAATTGGAATGATAAAAATCTTCGAAGCCATGTTTGGACAAAATTTTTGGAAGCAGGCAATTATAGTTTTTACGTGTCTCAGAATGGATTCGGCAAGTGTTCAACATCGATTGAGAATAACCAAGCAGAGCGATGCCCAATTGGCAGTCAAATATATTTCGTCTGTGCAGGAGAAGTTTTCCAATGGAAGAGGATTGAAGTATATCATACTGGATGCATGCCGAGATGTAGGAAACAGGGAAGAAGAGGAAATTTTTCAAAAAGGGATGCGAGACTTGTGGCAGCTGGTTGAAAGAGCCTCTCCTCTCCCGACAGTGGATGTCAAGAAAGTTGAAACAGAGTCTAGGAAGCTGAAAAGACAGATGGAAGAGAGAGAAAAGCAACTCGCAGAAGTGGAACGGCAAAGACAACTTGAAATTGAACGCAGGTAATCATTTTTAAATTTTCTCACACGATAGTTTTATACAAGTAACATAATCTTACAGGGTCAAATGGTACTGATTTTATAGGGAAACGGAGATGAGAGAAATGCAATTGCAGTTCTCCCAACAGATGGACGCACTAAAGCAGAAAACTGAAGAGGATCGTCGCACTATGGAAAGAAAGCATGCCGAAGACTTGAACAAAATAGCCCAGGAAAGGCGAAAAGATCGAGAACTGTTAGAAGCGAAGCTGCGAAAAATGGAACAAGAAATGGAAAGTCAGTTGCTGAAAAAACAAACTGAAAATGAAAAACTGCAGAAGCAATTTGATGAACAGAGTGAGAAAAAAGATAGAGAGCTTGAAGAAAAATTGAAGAAAATTCAAAAGCAGCAAGAAGATCTTGAGAAAAAGTTATCAAATGAGCAAGACAATTCGAAGCTTAATGATCAAATCAGGAAGCTAAAGATACAGCAGGAAAAAATGGAGGAGAAACACAGAAAGGAAAAAGCGGAGCAGGAGGCTAAATTGAATGAAAAACAAGAGCAGATTAAAAAACAGGAGCAGGAACTCACTAAAAAGTTTGAACGGCAAAAACAGGAGGAAAAGACAAAGATGGAAGCAAAAGCAGCTGAGATGGAGGAAAAATTGCGACAGCAGCAGGCAACGGCAGCTGTAAAGGCACTGGAAGAGCAGAAAAAGAAAGCAGAAATGGAAACACAAGGTGAGAAATACTCAAAAAGTTTTCCGTTTTTCAATAAGTTTGCTTGATATTTCATTGACTTCTACCTTTTGTACTTTGGAAAAAGTGATATGGGTTAAGAACCGGATATAGAAAATAATTGCGGCTATTTGTCTCCAGCTTTTTAAATGAAAAAAGAACAATTAAACAATTTAAAAAAAACTACTTGTAACCGATTGTCATAGTCCGATTAAATCCGGACGCGAGACATTCACAAGTTATCCGAAATTCAAATAAATGCAATCTGACACTGCTCAATTATAGATTATTGGAGACTGATCATAATTTTGATGATATATAAACTAAAAGATGAAAATCTAAGATTAATTTAAGATTTTGATATCAAAGAGTCTTAAATATTGGCGACCACAATCTCAAGGACCCCAACCTCAAGGCCAATCTCGGGATCAATTTCGGGGCCAATCTCAAGGACCCCATCCGAAGGCCCATTCTCGGGACCTATAGTCAGGACTTAATTTCGGGGCCAAACTTGAGGGACCCAATCCGAAGGTCCCAGTCTCAGGACCTATCTTCAGGACTCAACTTTGGGGCCAATCTCAAGGACCTCGTCCGAGGACCCCAATCTCAGGGCCCATCTTCAAGACCCAATCTCAGGACCCTATTTCGGGATCAATCTCAAGGACCTCATCAGAGGGTCCCAATTTCAGGGTCCATCTTCAGGACTTGACCACAGAAGCCAAAATCGGCGATCGAATCTCAAGGAGCCCATCTGTCGGCGATCATGGTCCATTTTCAGGACTTGACCACAGAAGCCAAAATCGGCGATCGAATCTCAAAGAGCCCAAAGTCCCAATCTCAGCACTCGCCTTCAGGACCACGTCTCAAGGTGGCAATCACGGGCCCTATCCTCAGGACGCGATCCTCAAGGGCTACTGCAGGACTTGATTTCAGGATCCAACTCCGGGGCCTACTTCAAGGACCCCATCTGAAGAGACCCACTCTTAAGGACCCAATCTCAAGGTGCCAATCCCAGGCATTATCTTCGGGACGCGATCCTCAAGGCCTACTGCAGTACACGATTTCAGGATCCAACTTCGGGGCCAACCTCAAGGATTCCGTCTGAAGGTCCGAACCTCCAGGAACTCAACATCAACATCTCAATTTCAAAAAACTCAATCGAGATCTGTTTTGAAAGAGGTTTTTGCTCATTCAGAATCTATTTTGTGCTTAAACCTCCTGAAAAATTAAAGTCACTCAACAAAGTTTTCAGATCGAGAATCGATTTAGAAAAAGAACGTTTTTGTGCTATAGTTCAAAATTCAAATTGTTCTAAAATTTTTGCTAAACTTCAAATTAAAAAACTCTTCAATCTCAAGTGTGAAATTTTAATTTTTATTCGATCAATTTATTGATAATCCTCGGAGTACCAAGAAAGAATTTAACAAAAAAACCAGGTTTCCCCATATACAAAAAAAAATTAATAGACAAAAACCTGATAAACAAAATTTGTTTGAACCGAAACCAAAAAAAAATAGATTTATATCTCCTTACAAGTATATGCAGAAATTTGAATGCCTTAAATTGTCTAAAGCGTTAAAATTTCAAAAAAATCGTTCAAAACTGAAAAAAAGTAAAGTCAATTAACATGCCAAAAGTTTTCTCAAAACTTGTACAAAAGATAAGAACGCCCATAACATAACCTTTTATAACAAACTTTGCATCTCATTCGAAAGGTAAAATTGTTTTCTGAGTCAAGTCTCACCGCTAAGAAAATTATCAAAAATAATTGGTATTTAAAACGAGAAGTACGCGATACTTTATAGTTTCTTAAATGCTTATAAAAACCCTACACGAAATATGCACGCTCGAAGTGCCAACATGACCGTTCGTATCTTTTGTCTACAAAAAAAAACCAATTGGTACCTAAACCTACTTTCATCCACTCCAAAACTTCTGTTTTAACTTTATCAAGCCATTCCTATAACCTCTTCCTTACTTTAACAATGGCTCCAAAAATCTCACATCAAGCGTTCATAGAAATAACGGCTTTAGAAATGCCTGCTTGAACTGGAAGAATGATGCCTCTCCACTACGTACCCGCAAATTTTCACTAATGAATCAAATGCGACGGTATAAAAAATGCTACAAAGGGATACAAATAGATGGCTCCTCCAGTCACTGTACTCTGCATTTATCCTCACATAAGAGCCAGCAGAAGTTTTCTTGTGCGAACTTTAACAACGTACCCTGTTTTTACGGCAGCCATTAAATTTGATACTAATACAACAACGGCACCCGTTTGCGTTTTGCCAGCCAATCCGCTTTGACTGCACTACTCAAGAAATATACACTACGACAGGGAACTCCAGATCTATGCAACAGTTTTCATGGCCATCACATCGACGACAATATGATGATATATGCAGTCGAGCTGGTTCCTAAGAAAACCCAGAGTTCTACGGAAATGATCCATATCCATTGAGTCCATCACTACAACAGTCGCAGACTGGTGCGATAGGTCTCAACATGCACTCTACGGATCGACCGTTCTCAAGAATCGTAACTCCAGTCAATCACGGTCTCTGATAAACTGATCAAAACACAAACCACAAATTATTTCAATAGAGTCTCAAAATTTTCACGAAATTAGGCTCATAAAAATCGATGGTAACTCTTTAGAACGAATTAATTCGTTTGAGCTGTTCTAAACTGCAATAAGAAACAATCCCAAAAAAAATGATTTGGAAAAAAAATAAACTACCTGCAGTCCCTGTATGTCGAACAAAGACGTTGCGGAGAGTCCATATGGAGTTCGCATTTTGCTGAGATGGTCGATAACCGGCGCCTGCTTCATCAAAAGTTTTTAGATGAGCAGTGCAACTATCATCTAACCGGTTTCATAGACATAAAGCAACACGAGGATGCTTCCTTAAATGAAGTTGCTGAAAAATTTCGGAAAGTTGAAGAATTCGGCACAACTTCTAAGGTACCAAAGGACCATTTTCAAAGACACATACTAAGCAGTTAGACTTTATGCAACAAAGCGTTCAACATGACGGAAATTGCTACCAAATCAATTTGCATTGGAAGAACAACATGACGATGCCAAGCAATTACGTTGTTGCTTAAGCTCATATTGAATCTCTACAATGACGACTACAAAAGGACAAACTCACAATGCAATTCCACGACAAATCATCATCAACTGATATTGATAAAGGTTATGTGATACTCGTAACTTTCCTGCATCTGCGTCCGTTACAAAATGGTACCTACGGCATCATCAGGTTATAAATCCCCAGAAATCTGGTAAAATTCGAAGTGTATCAAAATCTGCATCGAAATTCAAGGGCATTTCTATCAATTCCTTTTTAGAGACGGGATCGTATATTTTTATTGAGGTGTTTGTGTGCTAATGAGGTTTAGAGAAAAACCAATAGCAGTTTCTGGGGATACAAAAGGCTTGTTCATGCAGATAGGCATAAAAAAGACGATAAAAACGAAAAGCAGTAAGAAAATACGCGTCTAGACTTCGGAGTTAAATGCTCACCCACCATTGCGATCTTTGCACTGCATCAAACAGCCGTCGACCTCTGCAAAAAAGAACCCAATATACAGCATGTAATTCATAATAAAATCTACATGGATAATTTCGTTTATTCCTTGGGCAAGCTACTGGAACCCGGGAATCAACTAAGGCAAAAAAAGGTGGCATTCCAAAAAATGGGACTCTATTTTAACGAAATTATATCGAATACTATAGAAGGGCTTGATTTTCTCAACGAACCCATTCCTGAAACTTTTAATACATTTCATCGGCTTTTGTGAGTGAAGTAGGATACGACGAATGTCACGCTCATTATTCAGCCCGTACTGAAAAGCAATTTAACAGCTAAAGAAACGTCACTACGTCAAACTCTGTCTACTGTAGCCAGAATCTTTTATCTTTCTGAATTGATGCTCCCTTTGTCAAAACACTCTAGATACTGCTTCGAAAGTTCTTGCAATCTGGTATAAGTTCGGATCAAGAAATTCCTGATGAATACATCCCGATTATCAAAAAATGGACTCGACCGTGAGGTCAAGTTAATATTGTGAAATTACCGAGGTTTATAGTCCATATAGACAAACATAGCGATATGCAAGTAAATGCTCTCACCGATGCTTCTCAGTGCGCCATGGCAGATTGCGTATACATCCTTATTTCAAACTAAGCCCATAAAGAATCATCATTCATGATTGGCAGAAGCAAGGTCAATTTCTGGACAGATATAAAGATAGTTTCTGGACGGATAGTGCGACTGTACTTGCATGGATCAACACAAGTACAGAGTCTTGATCAACACTCTAAGCTTGCATGGATCAACACTTCTGAAATCCAACATTAGCATTATATACCCGGTTAACGGAAACCTGCCAATCACGTTACAAGATGTATCCTGCTTCAGGACGTGGGACAGTAACCACCGGATTTTCTACTCTGATCAGAATCTGATTGACATCAACCAAAACTAATGATACTTAGCCGGTTTTCACAACTACAGATAATGAGAGAACTACTACACTAATTTTACATACCAATTTTATTGTGAAACGGGAAAACATTTCTACTAGCGCAAGGAAGGGAAAGAATCAATGATCTTTCGAGATGTTCCGATTGGCTTCTTCACTCCGTGCATCTGGTCGTGTTGTACAAATCAAAGACATTCTTCGGCAAAAACGAAAACCCAATTTTAGAATAGACGACCGGGAGATGGCTAAAACTCTACTCGACGAGCAATCACAACGAGCTACTTTCCCCGATACTTTTTAGCGTTTAACTACCAAGAAGGCATTGGACAACAAGGATGCTTTACTATCATACTCACTATTCATGGGTGTTAAACCTAATCGTGCGCGAGGACGAGTGAGACCTTCACTAACTCCAGGTGCAACTAAGTTCCCAATTTTTCGGCATGCAAAGGAACCTTCGATTCAATTTATGATTAAAAACACTCATCATAAAAACATGCACCTCGGCA